AAATCGTCTTTTTTTTATGAAACCAGTGTAGCGATGAACCCGTTAGTATCGCTATTACGCCGTCTGGCAGCCTGCAGTACGAGAACTCGCGTGGACTGACCGACAGACAGACAGACTCACGGACCAAATACCGTAACCCTCGCTGCGCATGCGCGCCGAGGGTTAATTATCATGGCCAAGTTATTTGGTTTACTTCGAAGAGTGTTTTCCTCTCTTCACTGCTCCCCGGTCTAAATGGGTTCTCTACATAACTTTAGAGCTAAGTAATTTAAATCGCGCAATCTTGCGGACTCTAATTCGCGGAGAGCCCGGAATTAGGGGAATTAGAGTCCGCCGGAGGGTCACGATAGCTAGTAGGTGCCTTGGTGTTGTAAAGTTAATTCTCGCTCATGCGCACGCGTGCTTGTCACCGTGTGAGGCCTAAGCTATCGCTGTGAAGTTGATGAAGTGGCAAGAGCAGCTCGGGTCACTCCGAAGATATCGAGGCCTGTCGCCATTTATCCAACGCGCGGTTGGTTTGCGTAACCATAGCTCTAAACCAGTTAGACACCTCGTGATGGAATATACGCGTATAGAGCGCCTGAAGGCTTTAGTAGCGTCTAGCGCTGCGCTCGAACGCCGACAGCTCAGGTCCCGCGGACTCTCTAATTCGCGTAGTACGTTCCGGAGGACTCGGCATCAACTATCGTTTTGATTGACAATCGCGCATTTTATTGTCCAAACGCAAGATCTATGTTCCATAAATACCCGCGTGCCCCGGTCGACTGGGCTATCGGGAATTATCTATTATCTTATATCTAGTATTATGATTATGATCACGTCAATACAGGTGCAGATGAGAGAAAGGAAGGATGCTATATGACAATGTGAACCAGTGGCCTTTGGACTATATCCCGTCGCCAATCGGGGGCTTAAGGGCTCACGGACCGACCACTGGACTACCCTATTGGTGAGCGAGCGTGAACACGCGATAGGTAAGAGACTCAAGCAGCCAAGTTCAGCTACCAGCAGCGAGCCAGAAGAAACGGTAGCGAAAGCTAAGCACCCCTCGTCGTCCGCCGCCTTGGCGGAGGGCTCCGCCCACTCTACGTGCACGTATCTGCAGAGCGTTCGCGGATTGGCTCGGGGCGAGCATGAGTATGTCGATTCCTTCTCGGAGTCTCTGTCTAAGACAAGATAGTATCTCGTCGCTGAACAGCTCGCCTGTCGTGGCCATATCTTCGCAAACAGTTCGAATGGATCTAAACCGCATCGCCACGGTAACTACGCGTGGTAGAGTGCCTAGGGCTCGCACTCGCTGCGCTCGGAACGCCGACAGCTCGGGAGCCCTCGGCACTCTCCGCATCTAACCTATATTTGGTTCGCTCTAAGCTGCTTTACTGCTCTCCCATTTGGTGTCCTCACCTTCTAAAGCTCTTGAGAATGTCCAAAGACGAGCCACTAAATTCATTCTCAACAACTATGTTTCTAACTATCGTCTCAATTTGCTCGACCTTCATCTCCTGCCACTAATGCCCATTTTAACATTCTTAGTTTCGTCACATTCTGCTCTGGCCAAACTCGATCAGCATTGCACTTCATTGCACTATTCCTATTTCTAATGAAAAGCACTGAAGTGCAAACCCTCGGCGCAGTGTGACGCGCGCACGCGTAAGTAAACGCTCGCGCCGTACCACTAATTGATGGCTGGGTTTAGTTTTAGTGGTCTCTTGCCAGCTCGCGCAGAGTCTGACGCGGGCTAACTACACTACTAGATAGCATGCGAGAGGCTATACACGCCCTGCGTTACATCTTCTGGTGCCGAGAGCGATCGGACCGTGGTAAGCTGTCCCGTCCGTGCATATTGGCTTTTCCGCGCTCTAGCTCTGCAACGGAGCATTTTCAGAGAAAACCGCCTTTATTTTCTGACCTTCGTCGCCCGTTGGGTAGATGGTATCGTTTCTGGGACGAACAGACGTTCGAGGAGTGAGATATAGAGTAACGAGGCAAACAGACAAACAGACAGACCCAACTACTGTAACCCTCGGCGCAGTGGGCTGATTAATTTGTATACACATGCGTAAGTACATGTACATACTACTAAGCTGCTATATACATGTAATCATTGGCTGGCTACATCAGTAGGTTAGCAATGGTAGATCCTTGCTCGTGCACATTCTGATGTCTGAATGGTGTGGGGGAGGAACAGGATAATAACATCTTCTTACTCGGGCAGGCTGTGCCTCAGCCGGTCACCTGCAATGCTTTTCTACGCAGCTTGTCCTATGCAGATGAGATGACGTGTGCACGCTCTACCGTAGAAACGCATGCGCGGCATTGTTAATTGGTGGGCTGGTCCAATTTTACCGTTTTACTGACTCGCTGAGAGTCTGTCACAGGCTTGCTACACTACTAGATAACACGCGGGAGTCGATGCTCGTCCTGCGTTGCAACTTCTGGTGCCTCCCAGGTACACAGAGCTAACCGAGGTAAGCCAGTGCTAATTTGTATATTAGCTCCTTCACTTTGTTAACTTTCGAACGCAGCATTTCCTTTCCACGCCACTAATATACAAGCAGAAACACTGTACAAAGTATTAACGCCTAGTATTAAAACCTCCATATAAAATCATGCTGCTTATGGATACAATAGACACATTTATGTGTCTGTGGCTGGTTAAGTGTTAAAATTAAAATCGCTATTTTAAAAATAAAGCCAGTGTGGCACTGAACCCGTTGATATCGCTCTTTGGTTGTCTTGTTGCGCGTAGCGGGAGAAAACGTGGTAACAGACAGATGGACGGACGGACGGACGGACGGAATGACAAAATAACCCTCGCTGCGCATGCGCACCGAGGGTTAATAACTCCGCTCGTTACTTTTACTTTAACCATCTTCCCGGCCTCTGGAACTCACCCCCTTCTTAATAAGATGCCGCCGTTAACGGTAACTATGTCTTGTGGGGACTCATAGTTGTTGCTCGCTGCTAGGAAAAGAGACACAGGCTCAGCCTCATCGTTGTCTGGTTCTTCAAGCCAGTCGCGGATAGTCTCTCCGAAAATATCGAAGCCTGTCGCCATTTCTCCAACGCGCGATTGGTTTGCGTTACCATAGCTCTAAACCAGTTAGACGCCTCGTCATGGAAACTACACGCATTAGAGCGCCTTGGGGGCCCTTTAGTAGCGTCCTCGCTGCGCTCGAACGCCGACAGCTCTGGGCCCCCGCGGCTCTCTACTTCGCGTAGTTTCCTGGACTCGGCATCTAACCTATATTTTTATTTGAAATCGCGCAATTTTCATTGGTCCAAACGCGGGATCTATTTTCCGTATATCCCGCTGCCCCGGTCGACGGGCTCTATTGGGGAGCGAGCGTGAAGACGCGATAGGTAAGAGACTCAAGCGAGGTTTCAGCTACCAGCGGCGAGCCAAAAACGGTAAGCGAAAGCTACATCACTCCCTCGTCGTCCGCCGCGCTTCGCGGAAAAGGGCTCCGCCCACTCTACGCGCACGTATCTGCAGAGCGTTCGAGGATTGGCTCGGGGCGAGCATGAGTATTTCGAGTTCCTTCTCGGAGTCTAGACAAGATAGTATCTCATCGCTGAACAGCTTGCCTGGCGTGGCCATATCTTCGCAAACAGTTTGAATGGATCTAAACCGCGTCGCCACGGTAACTACGCGTTGTAGAGTGCCTCGGGCTGGCCCTCGCTGCGCTCGGGACGCCGACAGCTCGGGAGCCCTCGGCACTCTCCGCATCTAATCTATATTTGGTTCGCTCTAAGCTGCTTTACTGCTCTCCCATTTGGTGTCCTCACCTTCTAAAGCTCTTGAGAATGTCCAAAGAAGAGCCACTAAATTCATCTCAACAACTATGTTTCTAACTATCGTCTCCATTTGCTCGACCTTCATCTCCTGCCACTAATGAAGGTCCTTGAAATTGGTGATATTCTGTTCTTCGTAAAGGGCTTGAAAGAGCGATCAGCCCATTTTAACATTCTTAGTTTCGTCACATTCTGCTCTGGCCAAGCTCGATCAGCCTTGCACTTCAAGTTGAGACAAACTATTCCTATATCTAATGCAAGGCACTGAAGTGCTAACCCTCGGTGCAGTGGGCTGATTAATTTGTATACACATGCGTAAGTACTTGTACATACTACTAAGCTGCTATATACATGTCATCATGGGCTGGCTACATCAGTAGGTTAGCAATGGTAGATCCTTGCTCGTGCACATTCTGATGTCTGAATGGTGTGGGGGAGGAACAGGATATTAACATCTTGTTACTCGGGCAGGCTGTGCCTCAGCAGGTCACCTGCAATGCTTTTCTACGCAGCTTGTCCTATGCAGATGAGATGACGTGTGCACGCTCTACCGTAGATACGCATGCGCGGCATTGTTAATTGGTGGCCTGGTCCGTTTTACTGACTCGCTGAGAGTCTGTCACTGCTACACTACTAGATAGCTAACACGCGTGAGTCGATGCTCGTCCTGCGTTGCAACTTCTGGTGCCTCCAAGGTACACAGAGCTAACCGAGGTAAGCCAGTGCTAATTTGCATATTAGAGGAGGTGGCTGTCTGAGATGAAGAGACTGAAACAGAGAGACAGAGGCAATGTGAAAACAGAGGATAAAATTATTCTCAAACACTCCTATCACTGGCTTCAAGTAAGAGTGCTGGTATAGTGTTTGGAAAGTGAACTGCCTCCACAGCCATTGCTAGCTGAAAAGGATTTGACTGCAGGACTATTGAGAGCATCTATAGGTTGGTCTTGGCTCTACTTGGTTCAGGAACAGGATGACTTTCTTTTGGAAGCACTTTCTTTGCTCGGAATTATGTTGAATGGACTCAACTTTATGGGGCTCTAGATTCAGCCTCTGGCCCAGTTCGAAGGATCTGTGCTGGTAGTAGCTCCTCCAGTGTTTTGACGACCTCAAGCTGTTTATTCCTTGCACGCACACGTGGTTTTCCGATCAATGTCTGTGCAATTTGTGGTTAACTATTATGATGTACGTAACTCTTGCGATTCATGCTTGAAAGTGAGTATAAACCTAAAAGTAGACGAGACAGAAATTCACGACCCAATCCCTAAATCATTGTTTTTGAATGCTCAATGCCTTAGAGAGCAGATTATGAAGCCTATGTGCTACTGACAAAATATGGAGACTGTGTTTTTGTCTGGAGTAACACAACACTAGTGTTATTATCCCTTTATTTTAGTGCTTCTTGTGACCAAGTCATCTACACAAATAGTTCCCTATCCCTAGACTTCACCCCTAGTCTGAGAGACCTGGCAGAGTTCAAGACCAATTCAGGAGAGAAGATTGAGATCATCAAGTCCCTGGCCCCAGAGTGGAAGTCATTTGGTGCCCACCTCAACTTTGACGACATGGGGTCCCAGCTGTCACTCATTGAGGCTCAGCACGGTCAGAGTAACCCACAGAGCTGCTGCCGGTACATGATGATCCACTGGCTGCTGGGGAATGGGGAGGAGCCCACCACCTGGACAACTCTGCTGGCCCTGCTGGAGGATGGGGAGAGGGCCTATGCCTCGCTGACACCGTCAGGAGAGTACTAGCTTATTAGTTATTCGACTAATCTGTTAATAACACTGTTTATGGATATCTAGCTACATGTTGCTCCTCTTTGAACGCAACAGTAGTTGTTGCAGCTACAGTCTTTACATGAAGTAACCGGAGCCCACAAACGTGTGTAATATGTGATAGACTGTGAAAAATTGAGTGCAGGGCTGCACCCATTAGCTAATCAAGAAAGGAGTGCCGAGAAGTGTTTAGCTAGGAATCCAGTACAATGTTCCCCCAAGATAAGCAAGAACTTACTCGTGCTGCCTAGCATGTGCATCTAATCAATTTAGAGTTGCCATCTTGAGGTGATCTAATTACCATGGTCTGCTCTCCTATAGATTAAGTGACATGTTTCTGTGCACCAGAGAGTTTGTGGTTTGCCTTTGCCCTGTGTTTTAGAGCTGACTAGATAACCGAACACTCTACAGTCTTACCCCAAGGCAGCTCACCGGGCAGGGCTCAAGGTCTGGTTTACAAAGGCAACCCCCAAATAAAGTGTACAACACGAAATGCTCGATATCATAAACACATCCAAAAAGTGAACACCAGCACCCTAGTACTGAGGGCATTTTGCTTTTTGGTGTGCCTTGATAATAATAACAGATAGCCCTAACCTTCTAAAGTATTATATCACACGAAAAAGTAATGTTGGTATTTTTTTTCCTGTCACTGAATAGCTAATAGTCACGACTAAGCATCTTGATCTGATGAGAGTGTAAGTGAGAGAGGGATAGAGAGGGGGAGAGGAAAGGGGGGAAAAGAGAGGGAGGGAAAGGGACAGGGAGAGGGAGAGGAAGGGAGAGAGAGCACAGTTTTTAACAGCAGTAATTGCTAATAATATTTTTATTCATCACAAAACCTACTTAGTTACAACACTGCTTTTTATTCTGCTGATATTGCAATACTGACTTCATGTACTCTTATATCTCATACAGACTTATTAAAGGGTGTGTTAGCCTTGGACTAATGATAGCTATTTCTGTGTTGTGGTTGAGCACATCTCAACTTGTTGTTCATTTATGAATTGCCAACATTATCCTGTAAGATTCTACAGGTACACGTGAATGTGGTTTGCAGAGACTAACTTCTGCCTAAAATTGTTGCATGCTTTTTAGCAATGTATTAGCACTTTTTGTACTGGAGGATGTGTGAGGGTAAATCTGCAGTTTTAAGCATGTCACCGCTCGTTGAGGTCCTGACTCATAAATTGCTATGAAAAAGCATCAGTACCTTTGGGGAATGCTTCCTTTCTCAATAGAGCGGCAAGGTCAGAGTAGGCAGCTTCACAGGAGAATATGCTAATGAACTTTATAGTCCACTCCAGATGTTTCTCCAAACAAATCTTGTAGTTCTGTCTGACAGTGTCGAGTAGCTCGCGGGATTTATCGCCATTACTGACCCCTTGTTTAGAGAGGATACCACTGACAGCATTTGGATTGATGAAGCTATTTTCAATGAACTTGTTTGAGAAGTAAGTCAGATCCAAACTGATAGTGTCAGCCAATCGACTCATGTGACGACACATCACTTCCGAAAAATCTGCAGTTGAGTACCATAAATGGGAAAGTGCAAAGTACTCGGCACTAAGTATTGCTGATTGGCTGGTTATGAAGAGTTATAGCTACCTTGGTTGGCTTTTGAGACTGGCACCTCAGCACTACCTTGTTCCTGTAAAGAGAAAACCACCATGCAGCATTATACTTGGCAATTCCAGCTGGTTTCATAGCCAAGGAGATTGCATATCATAAGACTTGCAATACCCTTTGCCCTATTGATCAAAAGGAGTCTAAAAAGCCGCAAATTATTATTATGCTATTGCTCAGTGGACACAGAAAGGGATCTGATTGTTACTCGGCAACACAGAAGAGTAAAATTATACTAGTGCTGTCAAGGTAGCAAATAATGTTGAAGGCTGAGAAATGCTTAGCATCTGGGCTATTACCTATGTTAAACCATAACATGTTTAAAAAGTGAAACAGTACTTTTAGAGAAAAGCGCCTGGGACTATTGGTTGTTATGTGGTTGGCATGAAAAAAAGTAATACGCAACATTACCAAGTTATCTCTACCGTTAACAATTTTGAAGAGTGAAGAAAGAAAAGTGCCTCAGGGTATTTGTCGAACAATCTTTGATTGTCAGTTGTCATGGTAATACACATGTAGAAAATACCATGTGATGCCAAGAGAAAAAAAATGCCCAGCTCTGGACAGCTGTTTCGGGCTTGTTGGCCCTCATCAGCAGAGCATACCGCAACTTCTCTCTCTGGCATCACGAGTTTATAAAGGCTGCCATGAGGGCAGCACTTGTGGTTTTGAACTAATGAGATTCATCCCCACAAGGCACTACTCAGGCTACCTGGAGCGCAGCGCTTGTGGTTCTGAACCAATGAGATTCATCCCCACAAAGCTTTGCCACTGGTATGTGTTGACCCTCTCCAGACATTCATGATTTGGAGCCTAGGCCCCTTCCCACTCCTGCTGGTCAAGGTCAGCACCGAGCCAAAACCCGAATTCAAAATACTGGCATAGTGGGGATGTAGCTATACCAAAGCCTCATCTCCATGCTGAAGAGTGAAGAAATTTGCCCGAGACTATATTAGTAGTTTACGAACTTGTAGTTGTTATGGAAACATGTATTTGTCATTAAGTTTAATCTCTGTGCATGCTACATTTAGTAAAACTGCCTGAGGCTATTTTTTTTGTTTACAGCAAACAATGTTGTTAATAAAACAAAGTACTGAGGTGAATGAAAAGCACTACCGTGCAAACCCTCGGCGAACTTCGCATGCGCGGTACTGGCTCGCTAGTGACACGGGGCTAGCTACAGCAGTAGATAGCATGCGGGAGTCGATACACGCCCTTCGTTGTGACTTCTTGTGCCTTCAAGATACACAGAGCAAGCGGGCATGCGCAGTACTGCTAATTGATGGGCTGCGCTATTTCGTGGTGGTCTCCCGCTAGTGACACGGGGCTACCTACAGTAGTAGATAGCATGCGGGAGTCGATACACGCGATTCGTTGTGCCTTCAAGTATGTATAGAAATTGTTTTAATACTGTATGAGCACTGCAAAAAAGGCTTTTGGATATGCAGATTTGATCTTAGGCACTTTTAACTAACCTACACCAAACTTCTTTGACAATAGTATTGTGGTTAGCCGAAGAGTGCATGATTATTAAAGGGAATGTGGGAGTACTGTGTAGCTATAAGGGCTAAATTTCCAAAAAATCGAACTCAATTGCATTCATTCATTGTGCCCCTATTGGTTTGTTGTATTTTAGTCCCTTATATACTTGCACATTCCCTTTAAAATGACCATGTCTATAATATTGTGAGGACCAACCATGCTCAATGGTATTTTACAGGATAATTAACTGCAAACTCGCAACAGTAAGGATGTGAGCAGCGCAACTAGCTACCTAAATTTTATGCTTCCCTCAATCTACATCAGGGATCTTGCTAGGTAGTAGGTGTGCACTTGGGCAGCTAAAATGTATCTGTCATGTGTGCTCACCAAAAAATAATGCATAATTGCCCGACCTAGTTTTTCATTGCAGGAATTTTCACTATAATACATTTTAGCTCGCACTGCTGCACTGCACTTACTGTAATGTTATATATACATCATTCTAAACACACGCGAAAACATGTGTGAAAAATGAACTGCTCACTTGCGCTCACCGTGTTCCATTCCTCTAGTTTAATACCTGTAAAGCAAGACATCTTTGCCCTTTATAATATCTCGCTCTTTAATGCTGTAAATAATGTGCTTATCATCCTCAGGTTATCATACCTTGGTCATGGGCCGGTAGATATCAGCAGCACCAGCCTTTAGCAGAATGTCCACTACATCAGAGTGTGCTTCCTTTCTGGCAATATAGAGTGGACTGGCACCATCCTGTACAGTCAGAGAAGAGGAAGTATAGGGCACTAATAGTCAGGTAGCCATGCGTGAATGCAAAGAAGCAGTCCGAAAGTCCAGTCCATCGGTCCAGTCCATGGTCCATAGTCCAGGTTTTGCACTTACCCACAAACACATGCAACCTGGACATGGCTGTGGTTTGTATGAGTAAAATTCGGTGAAACGAAATGTATTATTCAATGAATACTAGCAAGGCAAGTCAATGGGAGTGCAGCTATTTCAAAATTATGTAAATGCTTGCAGAATCAGCCGGATATTGTAAATACGTATTGCTTCGTTGATAGCTGCGAGGTTCTTTATTAGCTTATCACAGCAGTAGTTTTCAAAATGTTTCAGTCCGTCGACCTTCCTCAGCTGAATGGACAAATGCACACGTACACATGGATTCCGCTTTTATGAACACATTGGCTGGTCACATTATGTTGCCATGTCGTGTCTGACCATCTATACATCTGTTTCTGTAATTACACTATGTCTAATGTTAACCACCTAGTTGTGTCATCTTTCGTGTTTGGCCACCTATTTGTTTCTGTCTACGTGTGAATTTGGCCATTCAACTGAGGAAGGTCCATGGACAGAAACGTTACAAATCCTTTGAAGACACCGCTACACTAAGCTATTAAAGAACACTGCAGTATCGGCAGGGTTTTCGTTGTGTTGTTAAATCACTGACGATGAAGGAAAGGAACTGTTCACACAAACACTGTCCAGTCTAAAGCAAAGGAGAGTCAATGGCTACTGCCACACAGAAAGCCAAGAGAAAGCAGATTTCAGATTTTAAGTAGTTTATATTTCAGTATTTTAGTACTTCAGGCTACATGTTGAGATATCAGGCAGCATGTAGAAATTATTAATGGATTTTTGTAGACTTGGCCCTAGACTTGGCAGGCATGGAGAAAGGTAAAGCAGTTAGTTTTAGACATGGATGTTAATGCCATGTTCAATGTTGTGCACTCGAACGATCAAATAATGCACTCGGTTGGCTAATGGACTGGCGTGCATTGTGCAACCTCGTCCGTCATTGCATTATTCTTGTGCACGTACATTACAACACTTGACCAGCCACGGACATG